GCTAGATTACTACGCGCTACACATAGAACATGCACGCGCTAGATTACTACGCGCTGGATATCCACACGCTGTATTAGTACGCGTTGGATTACTACGCATTGGATTACTACGCGTAGGATTACTACGCGTTGCATTACCACACATTGCATTACTACGCGTTGGATTACCACGCGTTATCCGAAGCTGTCGCTCTCGCATCTGCGCATGCGTAATCCCCGCGTTCTGATTGGTCCGTGTTTTTCCTTAATAATTCAAAAACGAAGCTTCAAACCCCATTTCTGCAAAGGGAAATCTTATTCAGAATCACGTCAGCTACCCCCCATTTCAGAGACCTACACTAATTGTGAGACTGTATTAATACAATACCTCAAAATGAAGAAAGCAAATGTATGGGTCGAAAAGCAACGTACATTTAACACATGAAGACAGTACAATGGAGAAAACGAAAGATATTCATAGTCTGATGTTGACTGGGCAGAATTTTGACTTGATTCGGTAAAAGGACAAAACAGGAGAAGAATGCAGCGAACGTCATCGTTAGAGAGGTCCAGCAGTTTCGGCGTGCTTAACGAGGTATACATCCTGGGCGTTATACGGCGAATATTTAATATGGCGTGCCGTTGGTAACGTGGGGCGTCGGGACGCTCGGACGGCGCCTAATATTTGTCTAGAAACGGGTAAGCCCGTAAGCTTAATTGGAACCGGCCGAGTGTGCCAGCCCTTTTTACGAAAATCCCAACTTCGCCGTATCGTATTCCCACGGGCTCCCTTAACGAATTTATGCACAGCTCGTAACCCAGATCCTATGTATCAAATATAGAAGCCCTTCGAAGTACTTACTTGAAACTTGATGCTTCGTGCTTCATTGGAAACGACTTCACGTGTAACGCTAGTGTAGATGTGTTTTCAACATCTATTTTCAATTTTCAATCTTCCGAACAGCTTTCTGAGCGTGTTGGTTCATATATTCATTCAGTAGTAATCTTGTGAAGTCAAGGTTATTAATCTTTTGATGTCATTGATTGATTTGGGCAACGGTTCAAGGTTTCGTGGATGTTTGACGCTAGTAGTTCATGGAGTGATCAATTTATCAATTCATCGATTGGATAGTACCAATACGGTGATACATTCATTAACTCATCTGTTTACAAATTCACCAATTCATCAATTTATTCAGTTACAAAGTTATGAATTCATCAATGTGTCAATTCATAAATTCCCCATTCTACCAATTTATCAACTTATTCATTTACAAATTTATGAATTTATCAATTCATCAATTCATCAATCCATCAATCCATCAATTTTTCAAATTTGCAAGTTCTTAAATTTTCCAAATTCAGAAATTGCTGAAATCACTCAAACTTTAAAATTCTCAGACTTACAGCAACTGAAATGAGTCCAGAGAAATCATTGAATTCTTTAATTTTAATTAATCATAATTATATTTGCCGTCCCAAACCAACCTAACTCTCTTAAATAAACCATATGAATCCTAACGAGTGATATCAAAATCTTCGCTAAAATGATCACGTTCGAAACAAAATTCTGAAAGGGAACATGTTAATCCAATCTAATATTTTATTTGCGATACATGACCGAGGCAAACAGTGAACAATTTTGACCCCATAGAACCGTGAATTTTGTTCACCATAGGGATTCCGGTTATTTGGCCAACTCGTCAGAAACACTTCCGGGGTTCGTCACGCGATTCCATTCGACGTCCATTTGTTTATTCGCATCGTTTCGACCACGATGAGTGATTGTTAGAAATTGCATAGAACGACGAACCATAAAGGCACGTGGGATAGGTCACGGGAAACGTGATTTAATTTGTAAAGGGAAATTGGATCGGTCGATCGTGTTGCGGGATCGGATCTCGAAATCTGGATCCCTCGTTTGCCGGTCAACTGGTCTAATTGAACCGTCCAGTTCGTCGACAAAATTCTTCTCTGTTCAGCGCGATATTCGAAAATAACGATCGACCAAGTGTACCCCTTCATTCGGAGTCAAAAACGAAGCTCGACGGAAACACTTCCATTGATTCTATCAATTGTGTGCACGTAACTTCGTGTACGTTGCTGTTGTGTTCGATTACAAATTGTTTTAGATTACGGTTGTTACGCGGTGATTTTATCGAAAATTATTTAATTGCTTCGTTACCGGCGTTCTATCGAAAACCTATTTGTCATGAACCATTTGTTTTTTTTTTTTTTTCTAGAAAAACAATATATTAGATTATATTGTTTTTCTATCCAGTTTACTGATTTAAATTCACAGTTATGCGTGGTACTAATAAATTTAACTCGGAATTATATTCACACACGTCCCTAATAACAGAAAAATAAAAACTGAGCCATCGAAACTCAATATCGACGAAAATCGTCATGTAAATGATAAGGCAAGATACAGAGCCAAGTCGTAAATCAACGAAAGGAAGATGGTTTGACGACCATTGCGATTTCTGGGACGGTGTAATAACGTTAGCAAACGCATAGACGAATCACGGACAACCACTGTTTGCCTTTGTCGACCACGCGTGACGTTGAATCCGTCGTTGATCGACGATTATCGTCGGCGACGTGCGTCGATCCACAATTCCAGTTCACGAACCCTAGCATTAGCGTACCATTCAACGTTATCCCTGCTGTACCTCGACCAATCTGCATCTCCTCTGTCAAACACTATTCAACGGAGGTATTTAAATCCATATTTTGTAATGGAAAACACGATTCCTGTCTAGGTTGACATCTCATTTTAATATTCTATGTTTTGATAGGCTTCAAGTTATGTAGGTCATTCGGAGATCTATTTGACAATTTTGGGTACTTGAAATGTTGGGGTAATTTTAGTGTATTCTTATGTTATTATGGCTACTTTTATAGGTACTTTTATAGGTACTTTGTAGGTACGTTTGTAGGCACTCTTCTCTAGATACTTTTCATAGGTACTTTTATAGCCACTTATAGGTACTTTTGTAGGCTCTCTTCTATAGGTATTTTTATAGGTACTTTCACAGGTACTTTTGATGGAGACCTTTGATGGGTACTTTTCCAGGTACGTTTGATAGACACCTTTGATAGGTACTTCTGCAGGTATTCTTATAGGCACTTTATAGGTACTTTTGTATATACTTTTATAGGTACCTTATATAAATACTTTCTCAGGTACTTTTCGTAAGTACTTTCTACAGAAACTTCTATAGACTCTTTTTCAGATACTTGTCATAGGTACTGCAGTAGCTACTTTTCTATGACTGCAAACTTCCAGTTTTCACTAATTCAGCAACTCATTATCACAAGTCCATAATTATCAATCTATTACCATAAGTGTATAATCATCGTTGGAGTACCAGAAGTGTATAATCATCATTAGGATATCAAATCACCAGTGGAGCATCACAAATGTATAATCATCAGAATACCACAAATGTATAATCATCAGAATACCACAAATGTACAATCATCAAAGAAACATTACAAATGTATAATCAACCTTGAGGTATCAGAAGTGTATAATCATCGTTGAGGTATCAGAAGTGTATAGCCACCATTGGGGTACCAGAAGTGTATAATCATCATTAGAACATAAGTGTATAATCAGGAGTATCATAAATGTATGATCATCAGAACAGTACCACAAATGTGTAAGTGTATACATTCCACACAGTGGAATATCAGAAATGTATAATCATCGTTGAGGTATCAGAAGTGTATAGCCACCATTGGGGTACCAGAAGTGTATAATCATCATTAGGACATAAGAAGTGTATAATCAGGAGTATCATAAATGTAAGATCATCAGAACAGTACCACAAATGTGTAAATGTATAAATTCCACACAGTGGAATATCAGAAGTGTATAATCATTATGGAATATCAGAAGTGTATGATCATCAAGGAATATCAGAAGTGTATGATCATCAAGGAATATCAGAAATGTGTAACCATGATGTGGCTACCAAAAGTGTACAATCATCGTAGTATCAAAGTTGTCCTTGAAATCAAAAAGTCCTTGAAATAGAATGAACGTCAGAACTTGGGAAGGTGTCGGAGCGTGACACCGGTAAAAGTCAGTGATTTTTAGTGTGACATGAAAACGTACCCTTAGATTCGCGTTATAGTTTGACTGCTCCTCTCGTTGTGCCTCATCCGCTCTCGTTGCTTTCGCCCCACCGCACGCTCACCCCCCACCCTTGCGTCTCGGCCCATAGTGCTTTTCTCCCCCCCTCCATCGAAATCGATGCTACTCGCGGATCGTGAGTTCAGTCTGCGACTGGCCACCGCGTGCGTAACGTCGTTTCCTCCGTTCCGTTTTTGTTTTCGTCCGCGGATTCACCCCGTCGACGTACGTTCGTCATTCACGCGCACCCTTACTGTGCTTACGTTCGCGAACGTGCCTTCGACGTATTTCCAAGAAAATACACGCGAGATAGAATTGATCGCCGCAGCGAAAAATCGATCACGTGTGACGACGCGCGAGTTCCTTGGGACTAGTACCGAAGAGGCTCAGTGAAAAAACGGGGATGAAGAACACCTTGGAGACACGGAGGACGTTGCTTCGACCGACGTTGCTTCGATCCGTGCTTGGAGAACGATCCTGAGGCGAGCGGATGTGCAAAGAGACGCCATCGTCGAGGATAACAACCGACCTGGGGCTGTCCTTGAGCGAATTACCTGATTGGGTGAGTGGAAAATCCTTTCTTATTTTCGTTGCGTGTAATTTGGACCCACGGGTGGTACCAATTTACCTTCGAATGTCTCGTGAGGAAATTGCCTTGTTTCAACCCCTGGAACCCTGAGGTATCTTCAAGATGTGGATTGTATCTCATTCATTTCGACTTTGAGGGTGATGATTTAACATGAGTTTATCATTTGGAGGTGTATTGTCTTGGCTTGTTTTTCAATTTTATTAAATGATGATTTTACAAATAACTTCTTCTCATAATATACTTCAATACTGTCCTTCAAGAGCGACTTTAAATTTGCACTTTACATTAGAAGCTAAAACTGTGGTATTCGAAAGTGTCTAAAGAATGTGTACATTGGCACCTACTGAAAATGAAAATGTGAAGGTTAATTAACACGATGAACGAATTAGATGAAGAAACGAGGGTATACAGGGAATGTTCAAATTGGATGTAAGAATGAGTATGAGATTAATCAGGAAATCTGATAGACCTTGGAGGAGTAAAGATATCCTAAGAATGATTCTGCATATTACACCTAGATTAGGTACGAAGATAATCGGCTAAATTAAGAAGTAGTCTGAAGGACGATTTAATTTGGGTACAGTTAAAAATATCCAAAGTATGTCTCTACATATTCAATACATATAAAAATCATTCATATCAGTTAGGAATATGAATTAATTTTAGACCTTGCAGAAAGATCCAAACGATGGCACATTGCATCCAAATTGCACTTACCAAACCCACAAATTAATCGACTTAAAACCTTGAAAAAGGTATCCATGTCTTTCTGCATCGCACTCAAATTACATACACAAATGTCCTGAAAAATGAATTATCTAATAAAAGACCATGAAGAAGTAAAAATACCCAAACTCTCCAAATTAAAGCCAAAAAGAATATAAAAGCGAGTAGAATAAATCGACGAGAAGTAGGTTAGACCTTGAAGTACCTAACTGTTGTGGTACCAGTCACGACATAAACGTCCTGTGCAAGGACGTGACAGTCTCGTCAGGTTCGAGAGTGCAACGACGTATCGAACAGGGTCCTTAGCGATGTATCGTAATTAACGCGCGACAAACGGGATAAAACGTTCGCGCGTTCGCCCCTGTGAAATGAAATGATATCCAGTTTATTCTGACTGGTTTATCGTGAAATATTTCGTCGGGCAACGGGAGCGGACAGGTCGCAGGAGTTCGGTGTTATTTCGGTGCAGGTTCATCGGGAACGAACGCATTCGTTCTGTCGTTTATTTATTTGCCCCGCGAAATATTTGTCCTGCTAAAATGTTGATATTCCAACGAAGAGCGAATAAACTCGCCGATAAGCGACGGCCCCACGGTGAAAGGTGAAAATTATCGATCGGAGTGAAGTTAATGTTGCATTACGTCAACGCCATCGCCATTTGTCGCATAAATTTTGCAGGAAATTCGCGCAAACGTGGCGTGGAAATTTCACTCGTTGTAGCCCTCCGAAACTCGAAAGTTCGTTGTTTCAACGGCGAGGAGCTGACGGCACTGAAACGCGGGAAAGGTTGACGGGTCTCAGACGTCCGCGCCTTTTAATTTAACTTTATCGAATGTAACCTCAACGCTTACAAAATTCTCGATACTCCCATCTCAATATTATTTCACTGAAAAAGATGCGACATCGCTGCAAGTAGAATAACCTGTTATTGGTCAGACAGCGTCAGAGATCCACTTTTCACTTTTATGAAATCTAGTGATGGGTTTGAGAGGTTTATTAACTTGAGAGGTTTGATTACTAAAAATTTAATAATCAACATTGTTAGAAAAGTAATAATCAACTGATAAGTAAAATTAGACTCTAAAAAGGTTGGAAGCAGAAACCGAGTTAATTTTCAGAATAAAAATTGCAATGATCGATAACACAATTTGTATCCCGGTTATTACTTAATCCTTTTTTGGAGGCGGCGCCACAAAAAGCACACGCCTAATAACTGGTGTAGGGAGCCCTATTTGAGGGGGAAAAAATTTCATTTTCTCGTTGGTGGTCGTTTGACCGCCTTCCTCCGTGCTTCCCGGTCGTCGACGGTCAATATTGTCGATACGGTGACACGTTCGACTATCATGCGCGAGCCACGTGAAAGTTGGTTAATTAATTGCTTTGGAAATATAATCCTTGTCGGTTGTAACTAATCAGGTAGAAACTCGGTCGGACGTTGACGGGCATGTTTGCTGCACCTATCACGTACGGAGATGGAAATGTAATTTGCCGGGATAGAGTTAGCCTCGTTGAATGCCGTGGCCAAGCTTCGCCGCCTATTCTAACCATCAACCTTCCCGATCTCTTCGTGGCGCACCGCCACTCCATTGATCGCCGTTACGGATTTTGCATGTAAGGATCCAGCCACGATACACGACCGACTGAAACCGTATTCAGGCCTTTGCGTGGTGAAACGTTTCACGAAACGGTATTCGTGGCGTTTACGACGCGATAACTCGTTCTTTCTTCGAAGAAATTCGCGACGCTCTGTTTCTGACCGACCGGGACGGTGGTCATCGGTACAAAAGAAATTCTGAAGTTCGTGCCGCGATCCATACAGATAGCGATTAATTGTGTAGATTGTTTGTTGGGTACGGTGGTTGGTTTAAATAAATCGTGTTGATTTCGCGGATAATTGTGAATGTGAAGAGGGCGGTTTACTTAGCTTTATTTAATGAACGTGTCGTGAATTTTTTCGTTTACTCGAGTATGTGATTTTTCTTGGGGAATGTGGGACAGCTAATGGGGTATTAGATGATTTATGAGGATTTTTGGAATCTTAAAATCTGGGATGAGAATTTGAGGAAGTAAATTCAGGGATGGTTGAAGAATTCAAGAACTTAGCAATTATAGAATAGAAGAATTGAGGAATGGAGTGTTTCAAGAATTTAAAGACCTTATCACCTAACTGTACAGATGCTACCAAAATACCTTTCAGTGTCCCAAATATTCCAACTTCTAAACACGAGCCTAACACTCGGTTACCAAAAATAATCAACCCTAACCTCTAAATCCTAAATATCAAACGAAACAATAATTTGCTAGCAATAACAATTACAAAGGTAGCAAATTGAGAATAAAAAATAGAATTTCCACCGAAAATGATCGGAGATCGCATCGAACGAATGTAGGACGCCGACTCTCGGGCATTACACGAAAACGGTTTCAATGTCGAACGCGTCGACGAATTCGCTGGCCGGTTAAGCTTGGCCGTTCGCGATTAAAAGCTCGAAGCTTCGTACGCGGTCATCCATTTGCATATAGGAAGCTTCGTATAAATTCTGCGGTTACAACCGCGTCAGAAGCAATAACGCGAACGCTAGGCGATTGCACGTTCGCGCGTGTGTTGTTGCGAAACGATCGGACGTTTCGTGTAAACGATTAATCATACGGGGGGTGTACTTCGTTGACGTAGGATTTTTTTCGATATTCGTCGATCGACCGTCTCTTCATGCACTACAAATATCGAGGTTTAGTTATGTTGACGGGAAATGTACGTTCACTTGCCGCCATTTTGATGACTTCTGGACGCGTGGGCTTTCTGAAATCTTCTTCGATGTAGGATTTAAGTGAATACAAAAATAAGTAGCTGCATTTATATGTATTGTGTCTAATTATTAAACATGTTCGATTATCATTTTTTTAATAACTTTATATTTAGTCATTTTATAAGGACGCGACTGATTTATTCTTTTAAGAAAACAATGTGGTGGATGTTGCAGTAGTAATGGAATATTTAAAAAAATTCTTGAAGTGGGTACAAGTTAAAGAGGTACAATTAAACGATGCATCTAAACAATACAATTTAACAATATATTTTACAAGTAAGAAATATTTTACAACTTCGTGAAGCAGCAATAAATGAAACATCAAATTGAATGTCACAAAATAATTTCAATAATGATATCAATTATTATTACACTAAAATACTTCATAACAAAACTAGGTACAGATCAATCAAACAATTATATTAATAAATTTTTCTACCTATAATTAATCATTTTAAAATGAACGATATTTCTCTGCGTTCTGAAGTACAAATCTTTTCTCTAAATGAGCATAAAAATTAAAATAAATTACATATGCAATTAAACTAAATATACAAAATAAATATACGAAAAAATATACAACTAAAATAAATTTGATATGAAGGTAAATGTATTAACACATGAAATGAACCTCACAGCAAAAGTTTATATTTTCGTAACAGATCGATAATGTTCTAAATGAACATGACGGCCCGTTGCAAACGTCATTTAACGACGAGATATCTTTACAGATCGAAAATGTTAATGTTTAATACGGTCGAGGAAACCGCGGCGATAAAATCACGCTCAGGAGCACCAGGGCAAGCGTACACCTCTAACATTAACGTGCGGTGTACACTATCGTTGCGGCACGACGATACAAATAGGGGCTGCTTCCGGTCGCGGCTTGGATTCACGCATCGCTTACTCATTGCTGAACATCCGCTTAAAATAGATGCCGCTTTTCAAAGCCGCGAAATTTACTTTAGCCATGAGAGCGACTTCACCCTCGAGCGTTTTCTCGTTCATCGCGTTCCGCATCGAAGTATTTATTTCTATCCTACGTAAAATTATGTTACACTTTGCTTAATTACATTTCTTACTTTACTCTTGCTTTATGTTAACTTTTTGTTAACATTTATTGTAACGCTTGTATTAGCATTTATTAGAGTTACATTTATATTAACATTTATTGTAACATTTGTATTAGCATTTATTGTAACATTTATATTAACATTTATTATGGTAACATTTATATTGTCATTTTTTGTAACATTTATATTGGCATTTATTGTAACATTTATATTAGCATTTATTGTAACATTTACATTAACATTTATCATCCTTTATGTTTGAAGTTATCATGTATAATATACATCTCCAAAATAATTGCTAACTGCAATACATTTAGGCTAAAGTGTAAAACCTCCCAAAAGTAATATAAAAATAATAAATAACATG